GACCCCACTGACCCCACAGTTGGCCACTGATTCATACACACACATTAATTAGTCTGAGCCACTCATACAGCGAATGCTGAGAAACACAGGAAGTTGGTCGGATGTCCTCACCAAGTTTGATGTCACTGAAGTGATTACAGAAAGAAACAGGAGAAAAAACCACCGGCCTATCAGAGAAGGCCAGTAAATCACTGGCTGCTCTGGCACTTCATCCGTCCACTGTAGTTTCCTGTGATCCTTTCACAGTGCCATCTGCTGTCTGCACCATTCATTGTTTACTGTGTAAATAATCAGCAGCATGGCTGGCCATACTGTTCTGACTCTGCCAGGCTTAATCAAATCTGGGAATCCTGAAACTGAAATAAATTAACACGATTAACAGTAGCACTATTAGCTTCATTCAGAATTTTTCTTTTTTTTTTTTTCTGCAATTTTTTTTTTGTGTGTTTTAACCAGTGGTCAAAACTTGACCAGAAAAATAGATCCTGTAGAATTATTATGACTAAAAATGAGGAATATAATAAGAATCGTATCTGTTGTAAAATCAAGAGGAAAAAAAACCCCAAACTTTTAACCTTTTTTTAGGGAGTTCGAGACAATTGTTTGCAGCTAATTATATTTATTTTAGCCATTTTCTAGGTGTGTGTGTGTGTGTGTTTGCATGCTCCTGAGTATGCAGCAGGTGGAGCCCTGGCTCCAGTTGTAACAGTCTTGTTCTTCAGCCATATCTGAGGAACAGGATTTTAAGAGGTACATTTTCTCATCAATCAGAATGATAATAAGATTTATTTTTTAAATTGTTTTTTGCATAAATTGAAAAATATTAGATACAATACCTCATGCATCCACACGTCTTCAGAAAATATCTACTGCATAGGCCATTGGTTCTCAATCTATGGGACGTGTACAACAGGTGGTACTCGGGCTCCGCCTAGTGGTTAATTGAGGAACTCTGATGTCTTTTAGGACTAGGTTAGTCACCTAGTTGTAAAATGGATGTCAGTGTGATTTAAATATCTTCAGTGTCTTTGTAGCTTTTGTTACAGAATATGTTTTCGGTACGTGGTGTCAAACACTGACCAATGATTGTGTGGGGTAAAATCCTTAAACTGTCACAGAGATATTTACTTATTTAGCGTATTCAAATCCAAAGTTCTCTTCATTTTAGTTTTTTTCTGCAAAACTTTATTGATTTTAAGCTTGAGAAATCTGAGGCAAAATGTTTTTTGGAAGCTAATTTTTTGGGATTATGTCTAACTATATTTTGGCATAGGTTTCACAAATGTGTTGGATATTGTGAAAGTAACAAAAAATAATAAATTAGGGTTGATGACTGGGATGACCTCTGACCTTCGTCATGTTTAGCCCGTTGATCACGGTGATATGCATCGACAGCCGTTCCCCTCTCGTATGAGAGACGGACACGGTGCAGATACGATCACAGACAGATCTTCTCTCTCCTGAGCTGCGCTCATTAGTTTCCATGGCAGCGTGTGTTGCTGAGCTGGTCGTCAGGCTGCCCACTCATCTCTGCTCATCTCAGAAACACACTTGCACTAAAGACACACAGATCTATACACTCACACGCACTCACCCATTCATAAATATAAATATATGTGCAGCGTACACACACACCCACCCACACACACACACACACATACTTACAGTGTGTGACTCACACAGGTGCTTTGATGATGGGAGTCTTTTAAATCCTAAGTTGCTCCTAATCCTCATCATCACATCCATCATTGTTGACTATGTGTGTGTGTGTGTCTGTGTGAGTGTGTGTGTGTGTGCTCGCACAAAAGAATAAAAGTCTCGTCCCATGTCTTTCTAAAGAGTCACTGATCCTGAGGCCTACAGACAGGAAGTCCCCACCTTTGACCTGCACAGGTACGAACATGTGTCGGCCCGTTCACTTGTGTTCTCACACGGTGGAAGAACAAGAACAAAAGTGTGAAGAAAAGTCGTTCAGATAAGGAGAGCAAACCCACTCAGATCACAGCAGAGACAAAGGCAGAAACAGAAATACCAAAGTAGGTTAGAGCAGCACGGCATTCTGGGATAGCAGGATACCCCCTGGGCTTCTGCGAGTGCATTTCTGTCTCCCTCCCTCCGTCCCTCCCTCCGTCCCTCCCTCCCTCACACAGTTACTTGTTCTGGCTTCTGTCTTTCTTCCTCTCTCTTGGTTCTAACATTTTCAAATGAACTGTGTGTATTACGTTCACGTACAGAAGAAGTCAGACATTAAACATACTTTCCTTTCCCAGCAGCAGTTACAGCTAATTACTCAGCCCTTCAGTTTGGAACACAGTGTGTTAAGGTGTTAGAGTACACTGTCGAGTAACTAGAAGTTTAAAACAGATCATTGAAAAATGTTGGGTGTTTTGTGTTGCATTTAAGGCGCAACTTTCTCTCTGTATGTTTTCATCCTACGATTAAAAACTTAAAAATGACATTTCCAAACATCTAATCTAATCTAATCAAATCTAATCTAATCTAATCTAATCTAATCTAATCTAATCTAATCTAGTCTAATCTAATCTAATCTAGTCTAGTCTAATCTGAAAAAGTCAAAACAAGGTAAAAAGGAGAAACAGAAGAAAACACAGGGTGTTTTTGAGGCAGTGTCACTTTCATGAACTTGGGTGTCATTTCCACAACCCTCCACACGTCGCTCTTCCCTTCCTCTCTCCCTCCCTTTCTCCTCTGCCCCCCCCCCCCCCCCCCCCCCCCCTTTGAAAGCCCTCCTTGCAGAAAAAAGACCGTATGGATTGTTTTCTCCCGTGTTTCCTACTTTTCCCACCTCGTCACCTCAGTAAGACATGAGCAGCATACACATGCTTCTTTACCATGGAAAGTGTGTGTGTGTGAGTGTGTGTGTGTGTGTGTGTGTGCGCACACAAGCCTGTGTTTGGTCTTGCTCCCCGTGAGCGTCCCAGAAACAGGCGTTCCTCAGGGAGTTGTGCTCCACTTTCACTCCTTTATTAATTCACCCTTGGCTCCTTCTCTGTTTGCCAAGACGGACATGGTTGGAGGGCGGGCCTACAAACAGATGGAGGTGAATGGATTTAAGGGGGAGGAGAAAAAGGCAGAAAACACTTGTTTCTTGAAAATAATTTTCATACAACGATTCAAGGAGGACTGGAGTTCGCAGGGCGGTTGAAAAGTTTCGATTGTACCTTTAAGTACCGTGTGTTTCTCTGTTTAAAATGCATCGATTGGCTCCACGAGGAGGCGATGAACCAATGACTGTATCGATTGTGTGGGAACCTCTGTTTAGTGAAGGTGTTGTAATTACTGCGGCCTTGTGAATGAATGAATCAATCTTCAATTAATGCCTCAGCCCGGCTGACACCTGCAGGGTTACAGTGGAACTGCAGCACCAACTGTGGTGAGGAAAGGAGGAGGAAAGGGTTAAAACGTTGTTCAAGTCTCTGTGTAGACACAGTATTAACTTTGTGAACACTTTGTACTTATTGCTTCTGAAATATATTAATATATTAATATATAAAATTAGGCCTTAAAAAGAATTTTAAAAAAAATTTAAATTTTTTTATTGATTTTCTAAATAAACATTCTGTAATCACAGGAAAAAATATATATTTTTAATTTTTTTATTGCTCTTCTAAATAAACATTCTGTAATCACAGGCTTCCTGGTTGTCTGACTCTTACACCTCGGACAATCAGAGCTGAAACACTGTAGGGTACAGTAATTAAATTGGCTACACAAAGGCCAAAGGTCACAGAAGAATCTGAATCTGAAATATAAGTATAAATGACAAATATGACATAAATAGGTCAAAAATAAGATGAAGATTTTTGCTAAAGGTAAACCTAATAAAATGTAGAACTTAACCTAATATTTTTTAACAACTTAAAAAATATCTATCACTATATACAAAATATATAAATAGAAATTAATCTATCACTATATACAAAATATAGAAATTTGACAGATTGATTAAAGTCTTGAAACTCAATAATTGTAATTTTTGACAGATTGATTGAAGTCTTGAAACTCAATAATTGTAATTTATGAACATTATATTTATTGATATTTTATTATATACAAATGGGATTTTTTTTAGCACAATTCAGTGACAAATATGAACTCCTCAAAGGTGACAAATACCTGTAAATCAACAGACAGTAAAGGTACGTATTTATATTTGCTGAAATAGTGACAACAGTGAGTGTTTTAAGATGATCCAGTGAATATACTGAGCCGATACAAGTTCGTATATTTACGTACAGTGTTTGCTGGTATCCGGGCTGGAAACCCACTCTGTCTGTAATCATCGCCATTTATTCCACGCAGGCCTTTGTCGTTATGACAAACCTGACAATGACTCATGCGGAGCTGCCATGGAGGAGAGCATTCCCACATTATTGCGTTAGATTAGCAGCGTGTTAAAACGACACAACAAGTCATTCACGATTGGGCTTCAAAACCCACAAACACATTTGCAAGTTCGTGTGAATATACATCAGTTGTCTGCTCAGCCTTAATGAACCGCCGAGTGACGAAGAAATCTGCAGGAGAGAAAAGCGAATAATGCTATTGTTGTGTGTTGATGCTCAGCAGTCACTTTGTTTCCACTGAGATGTGACAAAACACAGACTTAACTCTGCCAGGCTGACTTTTTAAGCACAATTTATTTGATTTAATGGTGGGAACGTTTTTGTAAAACCACATTTCAGAACGACATAAACTCTAGTAGCTCTAGCTCTATGCTATTTTGTGACGTCCCAGACTGTGATTTAACACCAGTCATATTTCATCATAACATTCATTAATTACATTTCTACCACTTTATCATGTTTAGGATTGTGCAACTGGCAATACCAGCTGTCACCAGGTGAGGGCATACACCCCAGATCAGGGTTCTATAACAGGTCAGAGATCCCTGGTCCCTGTTGTATGTGTTGCTCTCTCGCCATCGTGTTGTAATAAATTAAGTTTACTTAATTTACATTTAATTTGTTTTCATACAGGGGCCCTGTATGAGGACGACAAAAGAGAAGGCTCAACAACAACAACAACAACAACAACAACAACAACAACAGCAACTACAACAAACTTAAGAAACTACAAACACAAGACCATGGTCAGCAGAGTCTGGTACCCATAAGGCCTTGCACAGGCCCAGTGGGCAGGGTAAGGGGAGATGAACCTGACCAACCACAGACGGTCCCCCAGGGATATAAGCTCCACCCGTTATTGATCTCCAGGGTGACTGACAGCTGGACCATCTCCACACACACCGGCATCTGAAACTCCTCATTGGCCAACAGTACAGGTAGGAAAGGATGGGAGGGGGCATGTGATGGCAGGAAGCAAAACACAAACAGGATTTACAAGAAGCAGGTAGGAAACCTGGGGGATGCGGGATGGGGGGGGCATGTGATGGCAGGAAGCAAAACACAAACAGGATTTACAAGAAAATTACATAACTAAGAATACAAATCTTTGCATAACTGAAGTGAAGGCGTAATTTCCAAACCTGATGTGATTATGCAAATTGATGCTCTTAAAATACCGCCGTACTTAAAATAAGCATCGGTCTGAAGTGTTGGTCTGGAGCCGATTCTCTGCTGAAATAAAGTGCAGAGAAATCTAAATGTGTTGATGCATAATGTGAGACTGAGAGGAAGGCAAGGACGTGGAGACGCTCGCTGCTCGCTCTCTACCTCCACGGCTTCTGTCCTACTTTAACGTCTGTGGGAGGGTTGCTGGTGAAATTGGCAGCACAGTGAGAGGGAATGTCATGGTGCTGACAGTGAACCGTGTCACATGTCAGGTAAAAGACCTGTTGGCAGCACCTTTGATGGGACAGGCACAGTAATTGTCCCCAGGTCGCTCCATTTATTCTTTTAGCTCAAGGCAATTTATTAGTCCAGAAAACTGCACTTACACCTGTGGAAATTAACAGTCACTAACACCGCACTACCATACTGTAGTGGAGCTGTTCAGGGCCTGACTGTCCTAACCACCAGCAGTGACTGATGGTCCTCCTGTAGTGGAGGAGGTGCATGTTCTCCCCACGTGTGTTTGAGTTCATTTCCAGTTTCTTTCTGTAGTTCAGTCATTCACAGGGTTTCGTAGTAGTTTAGTCTTCATGAACCACAGATGTGAATGTGGATGTGAACATTATTTCTCCTGGTTTGGTCTGGTGACCTTTCCAGGAATTACGCTGACGCTGACCCCGTGACCCTTCTCTGTAGAATGTGAAAGTGTCGATCACTTATCGATCACTATACTAACAGATACGTGTTCTGGGTGCTAGAACATCTAGATTTTCTACTTCCCAGAGACACTTCATCTCAGGTCGGATCAATCGTAAAGGTATTTGCATTTACTTCAACGTCATCACCCCCCCCCAGTCAGTTTTGTTGCCTTGTATCTACAGCTGATGGTGACATGGACTATTTTAGAAAATCTTTTCAGCAAATAACGTGTTTGTGTAAAAAAGTTTGTGCTGAGAGCCTCTCAGGAAAATTCAATTTAAAAAAAAATCGAGTGACATTTGAAAGTGAAGTGAAACAGCTGGCTGCATTACGTTCTAAAATAGATTTGGATGAGTGTCGTGTGTGTATGTATGTGTGTGTGTGTGTTCCCTTCTTACCCCTCTTGCCATCCATCTGCTGTTGCCAGGGAAACCAGTCCTACTCATCCTTGTATCTCCCTTCGCTGAGTCAGGGAAAGAAGGCTGGTGGAGGGTAGTTTGACTGGTGCTCCACTCACAATCACTAGGTGGCATCTTAGACTCATTTTCCATACAGTGTACAGTCTCTCTCTCTCTCTCTCTCTCCCTTCATCAATACATTTTGTCAATGTTCAGCAGTTGCGTTATGCTGTTTGAACAGATGAGGTTCTGACTGTCACTGATGCTGAAACAACACGATTCAAAGCTGAGGTCACAGCATCAACGTTTACCTCACTCCTCAATCCATTGTCAAAGATGATCTTAACCTAATTTTTTTTAAGGTGTCCTGGAAACACAGATTCCCGGCACAAAAGATAGGCCTGCAGTTTATGTGAAGCCTTTAGAGCCGTGCCTGTACTGTGGGCTGTTCTTACTCACCTTCACCTGAACAGTTGTTTATACAGTAAAAAGTAATCAAGAGGACAAACAACAATAAACAAGTCAAGAATAAATTATGCAGATACTGCACGAGACTAAAGCTGGGGTTCTCAAACTGTGGTGCCTGTACGACTGGTGGTACTTGGGCAGAGGCTTAGCTGAATAGATTAGGCCTGAGATGCTGTAGTTCACGTTGTTGTGACTGGTAGTACCTGGAAAGACTAATATTTGTGGAGGTTGTAAAAAGTTTGAGAATCTTAGCTAAAAATTGAAACATTTGGTTGGCGCTAAACAAAGAAAGAGACATCAGAACTGAAATGAGAAAAAAAACAGAAAACGTTTGTATCTTCTCTCTCTTCTACCTTTTCTATCTGCACTTTTGGAATTTTTTTGGATCAAAACCCTGTCATTCCATCTACTGTTAGCTAGCTAACACAGTTTGCCTTCTGCTCTGACATCATTCATTGCATACTGTCTAACTTCCTAGTGGCTGCCAAACATACTTCAGGTGCATTACCGCCACCTGCTGGGCTGGAGTGTGTCATCGGTGTGCCAGAAGTTAGGGTACAAGAAACAATGCAATCAAATTTCTTATCTTTTTAATCCCTGTCGTAGCACAAAATGACATTGAACGATTATGTTGCACAGTGTGCAGATTTAATCTTTCTACATGTAAACTTCATATAAACCAGATCATATGTGTGCATTGGCTTTGTGTTGCTGACTACATTTCTGTTTCATGCTCTTCGATGTATACGTAATCTCTCAACCACCTCCGCTCATGGGATTTGTTTCCTCACTCGCCCCCAAAGGCTTAGTGGGGGATCCACAACATGGCTGAGCTGTAATTAACACTATATGAAGCCTGGATCCTGAATCTAAATGGCACCAATGCACACATGCATTTTAAACAACACGGAATGTAGTATTTTTAGATTTACCAATAACCAGGAAATGGTGTCTGCCTGATAATGACTGCACTGTTTCAAAATCTGTACAAGTTTTTTCCTTATAAAGTGTCTTTTGCTGCAACAATTTCTCCGTGATTGCATTTTGTTGTTCATAGAAGCCACGATGAACAGTTGGACAAAGCTGAAATAATTGCAAATGAAACCCGTGGGACTGAATCCTCAGCCGGAGCAGAGCTGAACACAGTTAATGGTTTTTTTGTGAGGCAGCTCCTGCGTGACTCACTCCTGGGGCCACATTACTTTACCAGCCAAATGAGAAAAACCCCGTCCTAATCCATTTGAGGAGGCAATTCAGAGTTATTCCAAGACAGAAGTGACGCTAAATGCTCCGTGTCTATTGTCAATCAAACGCCATTGCGAGATTTTTCAAATTCCTTAATCTGTGGCGGAGAATGAAATCTTTCGGCTGTCTTTCCGGGATGATAAGGAGATTTTGATAGCAGCGGTAGAATGTACATGGTGATGCTGGGACACGCCTCTCTGGGCTCCACACAACGGAGGCTGGATATAATAAAAAGATAACGATGGAAAATTTCTTTTCTTTCCATTTCATGCTTGAAGGTTTTTTTTATTTTCTCACCATCTCCTTAGTGATGGAACCCTCCCCCCCCCCTGGCCTCCTCCTACATCCTTTCAAATTATGCTTTGCACATGACTTGTAGTCAAAGATGATGCGGGAAGGATCTGCTGTGAGTTAGATGGAAAGAACGGTTTGTAAATAACTTTCATAGGAGACAATAATAAAACGATAAAGACGAGTCCTCACTTTGGTTTCCAGTCTGGTGGTCTGATGGTCAGTCTTCTCCGTATTGGATTCCGATGCAGGTCTTAACCTCATTTTTCTTGGCTCAGAACTGACATTCAGAGGTTCCCCGTGGCTTATTGTAATGAGAAATTTTGGGGGGATTGTTTTCCCAGAGGCAACAGTTGGAATTGAACTTCTGACCTTCAGGTTGAAGGACAACCTCACACCAACTCTTACACACACATGTTTATTTTTCTGGTTGAATAAACAATACAATTATGTTAGCGAGCATAAATCACTGGACCCCGCGTTCCACAGAGAACGGGACAATGGCAAGATTACCCATCATTCCTTGTGCTTCTCATACAAAGCTATAGTACAATGGCATGATCTGGTAAACTGAATCTTTACCAGATTGTCAGCCGGGCGTTTCACCTAAAGTTGAGGCCTGAACTGTGTGATGGTGTTTGGTTTAGTGTAGTGGTTAGCATGCTGGGTTTGATTGATAATGTTAATCCTCTTCTGTTAGTCGCTTTGAATAAAAGTGTCTTCTAATACATAATGGGGCAGTTGTGCCTTGGTGGTTAAGGAAGCGGACTTGGGTTCGGAAGGTTTCAGGTTCGAGTCCACCAGCTGCCAAGTTACCACTGTGGTGCTCTGAGTAAGGCACCGTCCCCACACACTGCTCCCTGGGTTCTTAAAGCTGCCCACAGTGTAGTGGTTAGCATGCGAGGTCACATGTCGGTGTGTGCAGTGGTGAGCTGTGTCACAGTAGTTCACTTTCACTTTCATAAATGTAAATGTAAATGTAAATGTCATGAAATGAAAACCCTTTACTACAACATGTGTCTCGACTGTGTATTACAGGAACATAAACATAGCAGTGCATGGACATTATCATTGTTCTAGTCCACAATCTAATCCAGATTAGGTGTTTTCATCTGTGCTGAGTCACAACCTCTCCCTTGGTGTACACTCACGTCTCAAAGTTCGTCATCATTGTGTCATTTTAACAATACTCTGATTAGGTTCATGTATTTCTGTCCTCAGTCGATGTGTAACGACGGTGACGTGTTGTTTCTGTTGAGTGACGGTAAATGAAACAAAGTGCGTAACAGGAAGTAAGAATATGAGCCACACATTTCATCTCACTACAGGGACATTCACACATCCGTACGCTTTCCCCCAGAAACCGAACCAATAAAAACGGCTTCATTTATCACAGCTGGTTGATTGAATGTCTGGAAACTTTGTTGCATTTTGAAACGACTCTAGGCTTATAATTGTGTAAAGAAAACCCCCATAAAATGGCTTCATTCACCAAACGAGATAATAATGTTAATTAGTGATGAGCAGATCTCCCCAGAGCACCACAGGTCTGCTCTGTCTTCATTTAGATCTTATCTGTGGAACAGAGGACTTCCAGGAGCAGTGGGTCTGTTTATCTGCTGCCACATACAGCACGTCTCTATGCAGATGACACTCAAGTTCAAGTCAGA